AATAAAATGGATGTCGGATCGCAGTCTAAACAAACATGTAGTAGCGTCCATTTTGGGCAGAAAATTTTACTGTAATTTTAATTTTAGATGTGTGTTTATGTAAAAAGTAAGGGTCTGAAAGTTAGGGAATAAAAAGGAATGTGTGAATAAGTCTAGTTGAATCTATTCGCTGTCAGCATTTCATCAATTTGAATTTGTTCACGAAGCAAAAGACTTCTTCTGCGCTTATCAGAGAGTACAAATATGCAATCTTTCAAAAGACAAGTAAAAAAATCCTTGGCTACGAAGGCAGAAACACTGAGATCCGTTTCATGGCTTATCCAAAGACAGTATTTCACAAGATGAACTGGAAGGGTGTAGAACAGAGAGAAGATTTTGTTCGCAAAATCAATGAGCTGCCTTCACAAACCTAACCATGAGGTGAGGAAGTAGGCTTGAAAATCAACGCAACTGAAGATAACTGCCACTATGCCTGTGGTCAAATTGCAGGTAAGGGGTGCTAACTCGAAAAAAATCGATCATCACGAATGGTTTGGCCAGAAAATAAATGCATCACAGTGCCTGTTAGAGTACGTTTTTGCTAGGCACAGTCGCAACATACCTTATCACAGCCGGGATTTTTGCATGAGACACCGATACTCAGTTCGCATCGTTCGTTCGCTTCCTCTTGACGCCTAAATTTTTCGATAGCTTTCAAAGCAGCATCGGTTGTCTCAAGCTTCAAAGGCCTCATCGTCTTCGGGGCATCGTATCTGGCCGCTGGCTTGTTCAGTCCACTCCAAACGATCACCTGCAATCAGCTACGAACTGCTCAATACCAACACTTCATCTTCTTTCATCTGCGCCGCTGAAATCGCCAAAACTACTGGCAGTGCCTGTCTCGCCCTATCGTTGTAACTCCCTGCTCAATATCATCGAAAAAATAAAAAATCTAAGTAAAGTACCTGGCGCAACACAAAAAGATTACCACATATAATTCAGACTGCTCTGAACATTACTCGGGGGTTTGGGCAGCAATTTTTTCGTCAGAAATCTCTGAAAATCCCATTTGATGATTCCGTCTACTCAATTTGAATACCAGATCTACAAAAGGAGTGTGGCACAAGTCCAATTATTTTGAAATTAGGCATCAAAACAAATCAAGCTCATTCTAAAATCAACTCATGAAAGCGCAAAAAAAAATA